AACCTTTGTACACGTCTTTATACAGTCTGTAGTTGTCCACATCTGTGCCTGTGTCGTCATGTCCACTGTGCATGATGACCAAAGGCATACACAGATGCAGCTTATGTCTTTCTCTAATCCACCACAATGTCCACACATGTGTCCACCCTCCTGTCCATTCTAATGGTGCCCAGTCTCTGCAGACTGCACGTCTAGACCTGTGTCCATGTCCATTCTTATGTCCACCCTTGAGTCCCCCTCACAGACTTTTACCAGTTCCCCTTTGGATCTCTGTACCTCTAATGTCCACGGTCATGTTCACACTTATGTCCTAAATGTCCACTATATGTCCACTCTTATCTGTCCCCTCATGACCCCTGACAGACAGTACCGTTAAGCCAGTTGGTGGACTGCTCCATGCGGATGCGGTTCTCCTCGGGCCCTGTGGCTCTGGAGATGTCAAACAGAGTCCCCAGGAAGTTACTGGTGGCTGCAGTGTACAAGGTTCCTCCTGGACACAGAAAGAGTCAAGAGTTCAGTACAACAAAACCACTCAGAGTGATATTTACAGAAACAGATCAGTTACTATTGCTGGATGTCATATCATAATATTCTATAGGCCAATATTTAATACAGACGGGTGTTAAAATGAAATGATCTGTTGTAACATTTGTGAATTTACTTGGTGGATATTTCTTATGCAAATTTAGTGTAAAAAACTGGAAAACTGCCCCCATCTGGGACCATGACATCATCACATGCTACAATCTGACAACCACTGAGGAGACTAAAACTATAAAGTCAAGTGAAATGGCTCTGGTGCTCTGTCCCTGCGAACAAATCTAGAGTCTTGAAAGTTGAATAAATATATATAGTTGAATATATATTTAGTTGAAAGCCATTCTAAAAAGAACTCTCAGACTAACTCTTATCTCATACTAAATGCTCTGATGACAAATCCTAACACTTGATGTGATGAGATGTGATGTGCTGCTCTTCTTTAGCAGGTCACTTCACATCTGGACTAAACCAGACACAGTCCTGACCTGCCATCACAGCCGTGTAGTGCTGGCTGGGCTCAAATGGACACTTGCTCTTCCCTGTCTCCATGTGGATAGCCCCGTCCTCTGTCCTCTGCAGGCTGAAGGACGCCACATCCTGGACAAGAGACACAGAGACACAACAGGGACGTCAGCACAGACCCACAATATTCAGTCCAAATATACCACCATATGTTCATTCATGTATATGGGCAAACAGTCCCATGTCCAGAGGTGGATCATACTCACATTCAGTGTGTGTACACGTGCACGAGTTTGCTGCTTATGACAGTATTCTGGATTTGGTGTTGCTCTCAAAAAAACTAAACAAAACAGGACACTCATATCTCTGTGTACATGTGGAATCAGAGTAACCGGGACAAGGCTTTTTAAGGCTTTTTAACAACGTTTCTAACAACAAAAATGAAAACATGCATTCAAGTAAGAACATGAGACTGTTGAGACTCTGTCACAGCTTCAGTTAAAGGTGTTTTTAACAGTTGGAAAATACAACACAGCCTCACAGTGTCAGTTTAAACAAAAGATAGCTTTATTTTGTTAGTAAGTATAAAATATTATTACTTAAAAGACCTGGTAGGAGTTTGAGTTGTTTGGGGAAAGTAACTGTTCCTGCCGTTTTTGTTACTTGAGTTCACTGCAAAAAACTAAATCTAGTCAAGTTAAGATCTGTTCATGTTCTAGCCTGATTCACCAGCCAGTTTCACTTTGTGGAAAGTGTCTGACCTCGCAGCATTAGGATTCATTCACTCAACGGTAGGAGGGTACTTTTTTATTTAACCAATTTCTGCTATTTGGTCGTGACCTATGGAATGCGGCAGAATGCTCGGTGGTGTCCAAGTAATTGCCGGCATAACAGCAAACAAAGCAGAGAGTGAACATGCCTGTGAACAATCTTTGTCATTTCTGCGAGGTGAACTTGTGAATTAAAGGTGCAATAAAAAATGCAACGTTTGTATTTGACAAAGGAAGTCCAAAGGAGGATAGAGTATGCAGTCTGCTATCACAACTCGGGTTGGTTCAGATCTTTGCTGACTGGCTGGTTCTTGCAAACCGTCTAGTGTATTCCGATTCCTGAACTAATCACTTGAGAGAAAAGAACTTGAGCCAGTGGAAAAAAAAAAAAAAAAGTACTATTCAAAGGTACAGATAAAAATACATCTTGCGACACTTAAACTTAAGAAAAACAACAACACTTTGCACTTAAAATAAGAAACAAAATTGAACGTTGCTTAAATTTAGAAAAACACTTATTCCTTTGGTAGATAAGTTTACTTGTCAGGTTGACTCAAATTAAGTAAAATGTTCTTAATTTAAGTCATTTTAACTTATCTAGATATTTGTGTTTTTTTTTTTTTCAAGTTTGGAGAAATCAAAATACTGTGTCTACATGCAACAGTATCCTGGACACTCTGAGAAAAACCCAGTAAATGTATCCTGGTTTCTCATAACCGGGATACTGGCTCATCCTGAAATGAGGATCCTGCATCTACATGGACACACCATAACCAGAATACTCCAAAACCCTGATCATAACCGGGATACTCGTATACACATTTACTCTTTATTTATCAGTTTCATTTACACCAGGTTTATTTGATAAACAGGGTGCTTGAGTCTGGGCTCTGATTAAATAAAACAGATAGAAAAGCAGACTCACCACAAAGGCACACTGTGGGTCAAATGCATACGTCCCGCACACATAGACCCGGCCGTCTTCCAGGAACTCCAGCAGCCGGATGTAGTTGTTACAGTCGGCCTGAAGGGGGAGACACAGGCACACAGATGAGTTACAGCTTTGGAACCAGGATCAATTGGTTTCACAATGATACAAAAATGAACAAAATAAAGCAACATATATATATTTATTTTTATATCTTTTGAATGGGAAAAAGTCCTCAACATGTATCAAGGATGAATAACACAACAAAATGAAGTTAAAAGTGTGACTGGAAACATTTTTGATCACATTTGACATCACATTGAAACATATTTGATCAAAAACAAACACATTCAGTTTCTCGTCGTCTCCTTCCCTAGCCCCTCCTACTTGTCTCCTTGTCTCCCTCCCTAGCCCCTCCTCCTGATCTTTAAAGCACAGGATAATTTCCATCAATCAATAAGTGTTGTAAACAGGTCATTTCCTGTCCTCACAGAGCTCACGAGTCATCTGAAACCTGCTCCCAAAAATTAAAATAAAAATAAAACACAACTACAGGTGAACCCAACAGCTACAACACACAGTATCCTCATACTTCTCCTTGCTCGCTCACAGTAAGAATGCATAATTTTGAGAAATAAAAATACACCAGTAGTTGAATTAATGCAAGCTCAGTAAATATAATGCCAAACTGTGGAACATTTCAGTCAAAGCAATAACATCTCTGGACACAAACTGGTAGGTCTGAAACACAAGTTAAACACACGTCTTTTTAAAGATGGACTCACCTCAGTCTTGCCTTTGGCGACACAGGAGCTCCTCTTCTCTGGGGGCACGTTCCATACGATCTGTAGACACAGATCTGTTAGAAGTACTTCTGTGTCCTGATTTTAAGTACATTTTTATTTATATAGCACTTTTCACAGACATATGTCACAAAGACACTTTACAGTTCATTATTCATTCACTCCAGACCTGGTGGTGGTAAACTACTATTGTAGCCACAGCTGCCCTGGGCCAGACTGACAGAAGTGTGACTGCCAATCAGCACCATCGGCCCCTCCGACCTCCCCCATCACTCACACACACACCACGTTCATACAAGGCATTGTGGGGGAAGTGTCTTGCCTGAGGATACAAAGAAAATTTTTGCCACTGGCGCCCCCCTGTGGAACCTCATTTTCCCAGTGGTTTCCCATCCAAGTACTAACCAAGCCTAACTACAATCACAAGTGATAATAAAAGCTCGAGTATCAAAATCAGTATCAAAACTGAAAAAGTTGAATTGGTGCATCCATACTGCTGGTGTAACAGGGCCCGACAGGTGGTGGGCGACCAATCACGTCGTAGCAAACAAATCAAAACAAATATGGCGACCAGCCCACAGAACTATAATAAAATCTGAACATGAACCAAAGATGGTGTCGTGTTGTTTTCAGTGGTCTGTGTTCATTGGCGCATGGGTCCAGAAAAAAAAATGTCTTTTCCACATTGACTTCCTCAGTACAGACAAGCTCCTCCTATCCGTGTGACGTCTGTAACGTGCACGGCGTGGAGCGTTTGGACCAATCAGAGCGAGCGCTGCTAGAAAGGAGCTAGCACAGGCATAGAGCAGGACTAGACTAACTCAAAGATCACATTTAGGTGCTTTAAGGATTAAAAACTGTCCACTGCGAAAGCTGGATGCCCTGACAGTCAAGCACAGGCAGGTTGAAATCCCCCAAAATGCATTGTGCTTCTACGGAAGAATTTTGGGCCCAAGCTTCCAGGAGCTGCAGTACCTGGAGCAGCCACTAGTTGGACTTGAGCCAGGACAGAGGGGGAATGTCTTACCCAGTTTTTATTATAGATCCATGGACAAGACAGACTATTCTTTCAGTGTCAAACTCACAGGACTATTTAGTTTGTGAAAAACATGGAGAAAGTCAGAGCCGTGAGCATTTGTGGACAGAGAAGATCTGTGTGCTTTTCTCTCACCTGGATTTAACTAATGTTACAATTTTTTCATCTCGTTTCGCTGTTGTGACTCTTTGACCAATCACATTAAAATAATCACCATGACGATGCTGCTTTCAGTGAGAGCTGTTCCCATGTGACCCATGTCAGGATCATTCTGCACCTTGTACCTTGGGGGTCTGGGTGGATGTGGTTGTTTACCTTGCGGGGTGGTTGGGTGGGATTGGTCGTGTCCAGCTGCAGCAGAGCATCTCGTCCTCCAAGGTAGAGCAGTCCAGAGTGTCTGTCCAGGAGGAAGACACTCAGGTTGGACACTCCAGCCAGATCTGACGGACCCAGGACAGTGTCTGTGGACAGAGACAAAACATCAGCATTATTTATCATCATTTTGAGTGTGAACTGATATGTTTAAGTAAGATGCACTTCCTGTTGCAACGCATTCACATATTTTACACGTTTCCATATAATTTTTGAAGCTCTGAGTCTCCCCCCTGCTCGCTTAAGAGCTGAGTCCTGGTTCAGTCCTGGTTTAGTCCTGGTTCAGTCCTGGTTTAGTCCTGGTTTAGACTTGGTTCAGACCTGGTTTAGACCTGCTTTAGGCCTGGCTTAGTCCTGGTTCAGTTCAGGTTCAGTCCTGGTTAAGTCTTCTGATTTAGTCCTGGCTTAGTTCTGGTTTAGTCCTGGTTTAGTTCTGATTTAGTCCTGGCTTAGTTCTGGTTTAGTCCTGGTTTAGTTTAGTCTGGTTTAGTCCTGGTTTAGTGCTGGTTTATATTGTATTTATGTTGGCAGTTTTGGTTCTGAAGACATTTATCCAATCAGAAAGCAGAATCAATGTCACATGACTCTCTCATTTGGGTTGCCAGGTTCAAAGCTGAAATCCAGTGTGTCCAGTGTGTTTAAACCTAAAATGTCTCTCTCTGATCTGAATGGTCACTCCCTAAACCTCAGCACCTGCACCAAACATGAGTCAGTGCTAGTGCAGCCTCTGCAGCTCAGGGAGGGAATTCTGAAGGTTCTGAGTTTTCACATGACTTTGTCCATAAACTGAGAATGAGACAAATGCAGGATGTGTCTCTCTATCTGCAGGTGAGGACAGATGAAGGTTCAATTGTCCACATCTTTTTAAAAACAGTAAACGTGACAGATACACACAGTTCCTTTAAACAAAGCAAAAATCCATCTCCTGTTGCACTCATATCAATATTCAGACAAAGCTGCTAAAAGCCCGTAACACCATGGTCCCTTTTCACCCCTCCTCTCCTCTTTTACTCCCCCATGTCCACTTCTCCGCCTGCCCCTCTTCCTCCTCTCCTGCTCTCCGTCCTCCCCCTGCCCCTCCCTCTCCCTCCACATCAATCATTCATGTGCAGGATCCATTAAACATGAGCAGAGGAGCAGAGACAGGGCAGGGGCAGTGACAGGCTCTGAAGTCCCCACACGGAGCCACACCTGCCCCCCCCCCCCCGCCCCCCTGGGTCTGGCTCGGCTTAGTCAAGCTAAAGACCTCATTTAGTCCCTATTTAGTTCTGGTTTAATGCTGATTTAATCCTGGTTAAGAATTGGTCTAGTCCTAGTCCTTGTGTAGTGATTTAGTCCTGCTTTAGACAGTATAGCCTGGTTTAGACCTGGTCTGAACCTGATAAATGCTGGTTTAGACCTGGTTTAGACCTGGTCTGAACCTGATAAATGCTGGTTTAGACCTGGTTTAGACCTGGTCTGAACCTGATAAATCCTGGTTTAGACCTGGTTTAGACCTGGTTTAGACCTAGTTTAGACCTGAATTAGATCCTGGTTTAGACTTGTCTTAGACCTGGTTTAGACCTGGAGCAGTGACATTCTGCAGAAGCCCACACATGCAGGTGCACTTATACATTTACACCTGCTCCCTCCCCCCTCCCACTCCCTGTCCACTGCACCTGTCAGTCAAAACTGACAGGGCGCAGAAAGGCAGGAGAGAGGCAGGCGAACGGCAGGCGAGAGGCAGGGAGGCGTGCGCAGGCCCCCCCCCACCCCACCACCCTCAGCCTCAGAGGAGCACCCAAACAGCTGCTGGTGCCTCGGCCTCACTCACACAGAAAAGACAGGAGAGTGGAAAATACTGCATGATGTGCCCTAGACAATTACAAGTCAGATCTACGGAGAGCAGCAACCCCGCTCAGTGTATGAATAAGTTCATTTTTGACCAATAAAAACCTCTGAAACTGAATAAATGCAACCACAACTACATCGGATACAACTGCGCCGCACACGAGTCTTGGAAGCGCAGATTTCATTATAGCAGTTTCGGTCTTCTCACTGAACTGAGTCTCGAAAGAAACAGCTGTGGCTCACATCTGGGGTCAAAGGTCACAGGTCAGCGTGCAATGTCATCCAGCTGCGTCCACACTTCCTCCGCACGCGTTCACGACTACGCCATGTCCTTTCGTTCCACTATTTTATCATTTTAAAAGCGCTGGCACCTGATTTGTCCCAAGTATCTGTCTGCATACTAAAAGATTTTATTGTCAGAGAATCAGGAAGTTTGTCTTACCATGCTAATTGTTGTTGTTACAATTACTGTCTGAGCTGGCCTCTGAAAGTTGAGAAAAGCTCTTATAAACTCATCCTGTTGAATAATGAGGAGGCTCTGAACGTAGAAGGTAACGGAAGAAGAACTTTGGACCACTGCAAACTGTTTTAAATGAAGTGATTGTGTTTTTCACGTTTTTCAGATAGTAAAAATGTACTTTCAAATTAAAACAGGTAGGCTACTGTACGTAACTTTCTATAGGTATTCCATGGAAACAGAAATCATTCTTCACAAATGTATAGCTGTAAAAAGTTGCATACTGTGGCTTTAACTGACATTGTAGTTTTTACTGACTAACTTTATTTTTCACATATTATGACCTCTTTGTGTAATTATTACTAGGGAGCTGATGCTGACACTGGTATTGGTATCGTCTTGGATCAGACCGGGTGAGTGGATCAGGCCGATACAGCGTTTAGAGCCTTCTGCACACTGCTGAAACTGCAGCTAACACCCAATTTATACCAAAACGTAACAGCAGCAGCACAGCACATGATCAGCACACGCGCAGGTTTGGCTTTACATTGTAACCAGTTGAACAATTTACACCAGCAGTGTCGTACGAGGCATGTCATGACACTACGTGCCACTCAAAATAGGTTGGAGTTCTAATTTTGCAGCGTCCAGAGTGTCTCCAGGCTTTTTATCAGAGCATCGCAGCATTAGGATTCGTTCGCTTGGCGTAGGCGGGTACTTTTTTTATTTAACCACTTGCTGCTATTTGGTCATGATGTATGTAATGCGGCAAATCCCGTGGGAAGAAGGGCCATAACGTTTTTTGGTAATAAAATTCACCAAACATTCTCTATGTTCTGATTTTAAATCCTCAATCTTGGGAATTGTTGCCAATAGAATCACTTTTTTAAAAAGCGTTAAAGATATTTGATAGTAAATCTTTATCTTTTCATCATTGTCTCATACTATAGAAGTATAATATCTTAAGTTTTGGAAATTTTCAAAAATTTTAACTCGCCTGCTCAGTCTACAAAGTCTTAAATGGAGTCGCTCCACCAGCTCTTGGTGAGTTCATTAAGCCCAGGTCCAGCACTAGTGGTCGGGGAACAAGAGCCTCTATCAGAGGCGACTGTGCAAAACCCTATAGACGCACAACTTTCAGTCAACAGGTGTTTTCAGTCAAGGGCACAGAAATCTAGAACAACATCCAGCTGCTAGAAGAGACTCCACCACTTTCAGTTCATTTAAAACTAATCTGAAATGATGACTTAAGAGAAACCAGATCTGTAACCACTAATGTTCTGCTCCTGTGTAAATGTCAGTGTTGTGTGTCAGGCTTGTGTGTTTGTCTGTTGTGACACGTTTTATGTTCTTATGTTTTATGTTTTATGTCTCTGTCTCTCTGACCTGCCAGGGACTACAGATGAAAAGTAGCCTTTGGGCTAATTCTGGCGTATTTACAAGTATATGTTCATGAATATGCATTGTCCCTTTTAAATAAATAAAACTAAAAAAAAAAAAAAAACACAGAATGTATGTCTTCATTTACATCCATCTCGACACTTTGTTTACTGTTGTGCTGTTCTACAAAAGGACCCAGACAGGCGCTTGAGTTTGACGTCATGGCTTCACTGATTGGCCGGTGCACGGTCTACAACTTCCAGGGTTCATGTAAACCGTCTAGTGTATTCTGATTTCTGACCTATTCGCTGGAGAGAAATGAAATTGAGCGGTGGCACTAGGTGGTGCCAGCCTGGCTACAGGAAATGGTCACAAAGTGTCAAAATAATGCCCTTTCAAAATACGTTCTCTGAAACCACTACAGTCGTGTAAACATCGTGCGTCGCATCAGGAGCTTGAGGAACGACTCGTGATGGACTACAGAAAGTTTACAGACGTGGAGGATAAATATAAAACACTTTACGACATCAAACAGAAACTTTACAAGAACAACTTCTGAAGGAAAAGATAGGGCTTGTTATCTCTGCGAAGCATCGTCTCTCTTCTTGCCAACTTTTGTATTGTGATTTAAAACATAGTTCATATAACCAACAGTGAACACATAAGTAATGTAAAAGGTTTAGTGTTTAGACGTGAGAATCCACAGAGGCTAGCGTAACAGGAGCTGCTCCGGGTGTAAATTAAAGCTTTTAAAAGTGCAGCTCTGCCTGTGTTACGTGCTGCTGATGCTCCTGGTGTAAATTCCGTGTAATGTTCAGAGTGTCTTAAACACAGACTGAGGAGGATCTACAGACACTAAAACATGATTAATGACACAGACAGTGTTTGTTTTGCCTCGGAGATGTCTTCACGGAGCAAAATCGGAGAAGCAGAGACTAATGTGCTAACTCGTTCACATATGTTCAGAACCATGTGCTTCTGGTTTCTATTTTTTTTACAGACCACAAACAGCCTAAATAATCTGGTGCCTTTAGAGACTTTGAGATAAAACATTACCTAATCCCACTACGTCCTGAAGCTGTTGTACTGTGGAGGACTTGAATACATTATTTACTATATTATATTATATTCAATTGATTCAACTGGGGCAAAATTCAGCAAGGAATCCTTCATTGTTCATAAAGACTCTAAACTGTGTAAATAAAATCATTTACAATCGGCATCGGCTCGCGAACCTACAAAACTGGCCCAAGACGCCCCTAATGATTACAAAATACTGTTAATTATTGAACTGAACTTGAGACAGTTGTTAAATGCCACACACACACACACACACACACACACACACACACACACACACACACACACACACACACACACACACACACACACACACACACACACACACACACACACACACAC